CTTCTAGGTTTGCTCTCATTCTCTCCCTCTCTTCTTTGATGTTCTGTTGATTCTAACGTGAATCAGTGTGATTTTAACATACTCCCACAGAAGCCCATTCTAAACTCTATTGGACGCCATGTCTTTGCACTTAAATGTTATTAAACAACTTAATCAAACTACATAATTAAAGGCATAGGAGTTTGTAACTAGAAAGAATATTAAATATTTATATTTCATGAATTGTAATACTTGTAAAAAGAAAAAACACAAACACAGCTAAACCTCACTCTGCTGTGTCTATTATTTAGCTCAGATGTTTTACACGCATTTAGTTTCCTGTTGGCCTACCTGAATCCAGCAGCATTTCTTATACTCTGTCAAAGCAAACAGTCTCTAAATGCTGTGGTTACTTAAAAATAAAATTTATTTAGATAGCAGCAGCCAAACACAGAGGAATTTACTCAATGATGAGAGGAATGTTTCTTTTGGAAAATGGCTTTCCCTTCACCTGGGTATCCTAATGTGTATAAAATATTCTTTATCAACCAAGACAGAAATGGATAAAATAGCATCATGGGAAAACCAGATACCTTGACTTCTAGTTGAAGCTGTTGCTGAAGTTCAGCCACTTCTACAGTCAACTTGTTTTTCTGTTCCAATAGATCTTTTATTTCAGATGAGGAATTAGAAGCCTATAATTAAAGGCAAAGATATCCTAATTCAGATGTTCAGGATGCTTTATTTTAATTCTCTTCCCTCCCCAAATATAATCCGTGCAGTAACAGATGAGGCATAACATTAAACATCTTAAGACCCAATTCAAATGTCAACCCCTACAGAGAATCTTCCCTGACTTTACAGGCAGAGCTAACCATGCCAGCCCCCTTGTGACTCCACTGAACTTTATTTTACAGCATGTACCACAGCCACAGGAATTATTTCATCAGATTTCTCAACACTAGTCCAATATGACTAAAACTTGCATAGGTGGCATATATATTAGAAGTCCTTAATGTACTCTGTAGAATATTATAAAATATTAACATATTAAATGTAGGATAAGTAAAACTTAAAAAGCTTCTTCATAATAAATTCTAGATTCCAGTCCATAGAAATCAGTGGTTAACAAAAAATCAGCAACAAAACCTTCCTGTAAGTAAACTGGGGAAAGACATTCATTTTTCTATTTTAATGATAGGAACACAATTTAGCTTCAGCGTTTCTCAGGAGTAGTTTAAAAATCACTACATTAGATTATGAACTTTGGAGGGCAGGGACCATGTCTTATGCATCTCTGAATCTACAGAATACAACACTTCTCCTACATTTAATAAAACGTTAATAAATGATTGTTGGGATTCTGGTTTCGTCATGATACAGTAGCTAATATCAGATTTACCCTCCCAGCAAAAACTACAAAAGCCAGATGAAATATATAAAACAATTAATTGCAGGCATTGAAAAATGACCAATGCAGAGGTATAAGCCTTAAAAGGGAAACACGTGAGGTAGTCCTCCATTCATCCCGGGTTTTCCCTGACTGCATTTCCAAACCACAGCACAGTAAAATTTTAAACGCCCAAACAATGTCATGAGGGAACTGCAAACTAAAACAACAATAAGATAACACTACATACCTATTAAAATGGGCCAAAATCCAAAACGCTGAAAACACCTAATGCTGGTGTTTTCATTCATTCATTGTTTGTGGAAATGCAAAATGGTACAGCCACCTTGGAAGACAGTGTGGCAGTTTCTTACAAAACTAAACATACTTTTACCATATGATCCAGCAGTTGTGCTCCTTGGTATTTGCCCAAATGAGTTGAAAACTTATGTCCTCACAAAAATCTATATATGGATATTTATAGCAGCTTTATTCATAATTGACAAAACTTGGAAACAACCAAGATGTCCTTAGTAGGTGAATGGATAAACTGGTACATCAGCTAGCACTCTGGGAGGCCGAGGCAGGAGGATTGCTTGAGCTCAGGAGTTCGAGATCAGCCTGAGCAAGAGTGAGACCCCATCTCTACTAAAAAAAATAGAAAGAAATTAGCTGGACAACTTAAAATACATAGAAAAAATTAGCCGGGCATGGTGGTGCATGCCTGTAGTCCCAGCTACTTGGGAGGCTGAGGCAGGAGGATCACCTGAGCCCGGGAGTTTGAGGTTGCTGTGAGCTAAGCTGACGCCACGGCACTCTAGCCCAGGCAACAGAGTGAGACTCTGTCTCAAAAAAAAAAAAAAAACTGGTACATCAGATAATAGAATATTACTCAACACTAAAAAGAAATAAACAATCAAGCTATTAAAAGACATGGAAAAAAACTTAAATACATATTACTAGTGAAATAAGCCAATCTAAAAAGGGCTACAAATTGTATGATTCTAAATATATGACATCCTGGAAAAGACAAAACTAGCGAGACCATAAAAAGATTATGTATTGTCAGTGGTTAGAGGAGAGGGAGGGAAAAACAGGCAGAACACAGAGGATTTGTAGGGCAGTGAAACTATTCTATATACTATAATGGTGAATATATGTAATTATACATTTGTCAAAACCCATAAAATGTACAATAATGTTCATAGTAGCTTTACTCCGAATAGCCAAAAACTGGAAATGTCTACCGAGAGTACGTGCTATGGTATATTGAAATAAAGGAAGGCTACATGTCAATACAAAACAGCTACTGACACATGTAACATTAATGAATCTTGCTGACATATGTTAAGGAAATGAAGAATGAAGCTAGACATACAAGAGTACATATTATGAAATTTTATTTGTGTAAAATTCAAGAAAGGTAAAACTAACGTAGGTGATAGAAGTCAGGATGTAATTACCTCCAGAGGGAGGAGGTATAACTGATTGGCAAGAAGCACAGGAAACCTTCTGGGTGACAAGAGTGTTCTGTGTCTTGATCTGGGTGGTGTTTGCATACAAGCAAACCTATGTTAAAAATTCAGTGAACTATACAGTTAAGATTTGCGCAACTTTACTGTAAGTTATATCCTAATAAAACAATATAAAACATAACATTTGCTGAAGACTCATCTGTTGCATGAAGTTATACCCAAAGCCCACATCTCTGTCTTCCCTTTGTTCATACATTTGGTACAGAATTTTCATTACATGGAGATTATTGATCCATAATCACCAATGAGATTTTTATCCCTCACTCTCTACACAACCTGTATGCAAGTAGTAAATAAATGTATGTTCGCTAAATTTGCTTTCTGCTTTTAGGTGTTACATTTCCATAATGAAGAGGGACCTGATTAAAGAGAATCTATTAGAAAATATCATCTCTGATCTGAGTATGAATATTAACAGATCTCTTTTTTTTTCTTCCTGGAAATAACAGGATGATGCTCTCAAAAGGATTTGGCTACAATCCTACAGAAACGTGATTCCAAAACTACAAATAGCTGAGGGGAAGAGATAAAGGCAGGAATCAGAGCTAGAAAAAGCAGCATCTTGGCTCACATGCCCCTGAATCCAGGTGTGAGTTGCATGTGATGAACTTGCAACGAGGTACTTCCCCACCTACTGCTATGAAGGGGACTAGAACCCAACTGCACAAATGAGGGACTCCCAATTTTCTTGGGCAAAATGAAAACAACCCATTTTAGAAACTGAACTCCAACCCAGCAGGAGACTTATACATTGTTCCTTCCCAAACAAAACTCCACCTGCTTTGCGGTTTTCCAATACCGTCTCAGTCCATAAGGGAGAGGGGTCTCACATCCTCTGCTAGGTAGTCACTTAACTGACACCAAGAAGATAAAACTTCAAAACCTTTGCCAGCAAATAATCAGATTCAGAACACAAGAGGGAGGAAAACGTGGGCAATTAAACAGTCACAGCACTGTGATCAGAGCCAGACGTCTAGAGTCTTAGTTCACCTTCTCATCATCTCTTGCTTGATTTGGCAGCAGCTTCTTAATTAGTCTCTCATTCTCTAATCCTACTTCTCTTGAAAAGCTCCAAAAGGAATAAACTTTTACAAACACAATGGTATGCGTGCCTGTTTAAAATCCATCAATGGTAGCCCACGCCCATCAATGGCAGCCTGAAATGGAAACTGCCTATGTGATTTCTGAGGTCCTTCCTACCCGGCTCTTGCTCCCCACAGCCCGGCTCTGTGTTCCAGCTGCACTGACTTACCTCCAGTTCCCTAAACCTGGCAAACCCATGCCTCTTACGTTTGTTTGTGCCGTTCCCTTGACCTGAACACCCTTCTTCTCACAGCAAATTCTATGATCTTCTTTTTAATCCTTTAACAAGTCTCTCCTATCCCTCCCCTTCACTCTACCCTTCCCAGCCTCTAGTATCCTCTGTTCTACTTTTTACTTCTATGAGATCAATTTTTTTAGCTTCCACATATGAGTAAGAACATGCAGTGTTTAACTTTCTGTGCCTGGCTTATTTCACTTGACATAATGACCTCCAGTTCCGTCCACGTTGCCGCAAATGACATGATTTCATTCTTTTTTATGGCTGAAGGGTATTCCACGGTGTATATAGACCATATTTTCTTTATCCATTCATCTGTTGTTGGACACCTAGGCTGATTCCACATCTTGGCTATTGTGAACAGTGCCGCAATAAACATGGGGTGCAGATGTCTCTCTGATATAATGGTTTCCTTTCCTTTGGATAAATTCCCAGTAGTGGGATTGCTGGATCATATGGCAGTTCCATTTGTAGTTTTTTGAGGGACCTCCACACTGTTCTCTGTAGTGAGAGTACTAGCTTACACTCCCACAAACAGAGGATAAGAGTTCCCTTTCTTTTTGCATCCTTGCCAGCATTTGTTATTTTTTTTCTCTTTTTCATAATGGCCATCAGAACTGGGATGAGGTGATACCTCATTGTGGTTTTGATTTATTATGTTTTCCTGATGATATAGTGATGTTGAACATTTTCTTCATATATTTATTGGCTATCTGTATGTCCTCTTTTAAGAAATGTACTTTTAGACTGTGATCTTTTGAGATACTATTAGTGTCACTGTCTCCAGAAGGGCTATTCTGACTTCCCCAGTCCGGGCTAGTTATCCCCAGTCTGTGACCCACAGTGACAGTCTTAACAACAATGCCAACAGCTGTGTTCTTCCTAAGAATATAAAGGTAAACAAAAAGCAAGAATCATGATGATAATTTAGATTTAAGAGTTTTAGCAAAAAATATTGAACTAATTTTAAGAACTATGGAGAGCTCCTAAAGGCTGCATATAAAGCAAGGTGTATGATTTAAAGATTCCCCAGGGGGAATTGTGTGTCTGTACGTACGTACACACACACACATACACACACACACACACACACACACACACACAGAGCATTGTTCTATTTCAAGCCAGAGCAGCAGTCATGGGTCAGCTGAGTGCTAGAATACTGAGCAGTAAAGAGAAAAGAGGGTAGTTGATGCCTAAAAATACCGTCTATACGTATGTTTCCAAAGTTGCGAAGAAGCTATAGACAAGCTTGGGATTACCTGCCTCTGGGTATCTTCTCTTTGCTGCCCATGCAGAATTCCCCTGGGAGGGGAAGGGAAGTACACAAGCAAGAAATGAGTCCTAATACTCTCTTAAGTGCTACTTCCTTTCAGGGCATGAGTTGTGTCTGGCATATAGTAGATGTTTATCCAGTATGAAATGAATCCTTCTTTAGCCAAAAAAATCTCTAAGTCCCAACTCAAATTCAGCACAATCAACGAGATAGGCAGTTTCACCACTAGTTGGCTTCACAAGTCTCTAGTCCTCATCCTCTTTCACACCTGAAGTCCCAGAGCTGGGGCCTAAGCCTGCTCACACTTACCTGTTGCCTACAACAATGCTAGAGTTCTCCATCCACGATGTCGTTTCAGTCTTCCTATTCTTATTTTCCCCTTGTAAACCTCACCACCTATTTACATCACTTGCTACATTTTATGTATTTTTAAATAAAATATCTTAAAATCTTTCTGAACGAAAGACCTAGTGCAAAGGAACAATATTTAAAACATGATGAGTAGTACTGCTCACCACTTAGGAAATGTCCCACCTACTATAAACAAACATACAGACTGAAGAAGCAGCAAGTTTTTGACCACATTCCCTGTTCAATGCACTCTGCAAAATACAAAACTTCCACTTACTTGGTTATTTCCTTGTGCATTCCCTGCTGCTCGAGACTTTAAAGTCTGGATTTTCTCAAAGACCAAGTTGACCTTCCTTTTAGTAGCATCATCATTATCGGTGCTCCTGAAAAAGAGGCAGCAGAGAAAACAATGAGGGACACCAACACGGGGCTCAGAATATTTTTTATGCCGTGACACACATACAAGCCCTTTTAGAAGACAGATTGCAAGAGGCATGAATTAATTAAGGCTGCAAACAAAACCAGTGTGACGGGAGCAGGCTGGATGGTATATTTTTCTTCAAATATATTGTTATATGTTACTGTTCAATTTGGAACAAGGGTTTCCATTTTCAAATATGTGAGAGACATACCACATTCTAAATAAACTTGGGGAAAACATACAGTGAAAATTTAGCATTTGTTACTGGATTCAAATGCCTCATGTTCATTCTAAAAGGAATCCTCCTTTTCTTTGTTGTGTGTGTCTCTTTCACACACTTTCACACACACATACACACTTTACTTTAAACCTTACACTAAGAAAGATCTGCAACAATCTTCACTTGTTTAGCCTCTGTTTAAAAAATAAAACCCCCAAGCCAAGACTGTCCATACGGCAGCCCTTTGTCTGGACTTTCACAGGTAACAATCAGATAAAAGCTTTATTAACGTCTGCCCCATGCCCAGCAATTGGAAGAAAAAGATTGAAAATAAGTTTCCTTAAACAGGCAACTCCCACTATAGTCATGTGCCAAAAATTTAAAAATAAAATAAAGAATGTAAAGAATTTTAAAAATCAAAAGTTCTTCTACCTTAATCCCTTCACAGGGAGATACTAATAACTATTAATAGTTCTTAGCTAGAAGAATCTTTTTGGTTACAATACTGGCAAAGATTAATAAATGTAAGGCAAGATATGAAAATATAAAATGTTTTGATCCTGATGAGTATTTGCCAAGTGGCTGATGTTCACTCATGTCGGGCTATAAAGGGTTTTTTTTCCTTCTTCTTCTTAATCATATCTGATGAGAGAACTGAAACAGAAACTTCGAATTCCTCGCCTAGAATTCCAGCACAGTATCTAAGCAAGGACTGAAACCAAGATTATTCCAACGCAACCCCCAAGATAAGTATGGAAAGCGCTGCTTTTAAATGACTCAGACATACTTGAGAAATAATGGAAGCAGGGGCTCCTGGCCAGCGTTCACTCTGGGGAGGGAAGGGGGGGTTTTCACTGGCAGCTTCTAATGAGGAGTGGTTGAGAACTACCGTGCATGAAAGAACTCACGGTGATGGCAGACTGGATTCGAACCTGAACAGCAGACATTCTTCCTATCTTTGAATTTGCTTTGCAAATAGTACAGGGTCACTTAAAAAATATAACCATTTTTAACTTTTAACGTATGATGCCTTTTCCTGCACTCCTTTCCCCCAGCCCCCACCACCCAAGATTTAAACACTGTCATGAAAACTTCAGCCACTGAGTCTTTACCCTCCAATGGCTCTCTCAGGGCAGAAGGAAAGGTAAAATACACAAGGCCTCAGAAAAGGAAATTAAAAGCCCCACCAGAAATGACAATGCTTTGCTCTTTAAAGAAAAACACTAACCCTTCTTTGAGGTAATTGTAAAGTATCTGCTTGGCCGTCTCCTCATTGGTTTGCTGAGTGAGCTCTTGCTGGCCCTTTAAGAGATCGGGTGTGGCCTGGAACAGAACATCTCTTATTAGACCACTAGACATTTCTGGGAAGAAGGCAAAACCCTGAAGCAGAGGCTTCTAAACACATTCCTACTTTCCAAAAACAATGCCCCAGGTAAGCATCCTCATTACAGCCAGTAACAACGCTTAGCTCTGTAACCTCAGGCAACTTCCTTAACTTCTCCTCCTCTCAATTTTCTCACCTGTAAATGGAGGTTAACAGGACCTATCTTCATAGGGTTGGTGCAGTCCTGTAATATACAACGCACAGTGCCTGGCACTTACCAACCTCATTATCATTTTTATCAATATCATTATTTTTTATTGTTACTACCCAAGCACTAAAGGTATCACTTATATTCCAACACTTTACATACAATTAACCTAAACTAGGATTAACCTAATTTCTCAGGCTAGAAATTAACCTGGTCCCTCCATTTCATGAGGAGAATTAATGTATCTACACGAACCTAACCATTGAAGCTCTGTGTGGAAACAAACTCTGCATACTTTCAGATTTCACACATATACAAACAGAAAACTCCAGCCTCTCTGGGGAGTTTGACAAGTTACTTCGCAGAAAGATCACAAAGGGAATCTAGCTGTACTTGAAAGAACCCAGAAAACTACACAACTGGCAATGGGACATCATTGGAAGGATATAAACTGATCCTAAAAAACTCAGATGTGCAATTCCTGATTCAAGATTGAGGGTATGTGTTCCTACAGCCTCCTGCACATGAGTACATCATTTAGATCACTTAGAAAGAAAAAGCAAAACAAGACAGGAACCACACTAGTGTTACCTGAGTATTTGAGGTGGAAGGAAAAGTCTTCACAGAAATTTTCTTGGCACCAGAATCAGGTGAGGTCACTACGGCCCGATTCTGTAACAGCAACGTAGCAGTGGCTGTTTTTATTTCCTCCTCCTTTTTACTCTGTGCTGGGAGGGAAGACGCACGAATCGAAGTACTTTCCTGACTACCTTTGGTTTCCAGAACTTTTCCACTTTTGTTCTGCTGGGGAGGCCTGGGGTGGGCACACTGAGCGCCGTGGGCTGCTCCCTGCAGCTTTGCAAAGGTGCGGCCCACGCTTTGCCTCCCACGATGCTCCTGAGACGGTGCCCTCTGCGGGCACACCTGGGATGGCCGGAGGAGGTGTTCGCTTGACTTGCCCAAGTTCCTACTAAATTCAGTCAGGTACTCCGAGTTCCCCTGGAGACCGAACGGAAAGGCACTATCCACACTTCTGGATCTTTTCCTGTCATCTGGACTGATTCTGTTTCGCTTCCCAGACCTTCCTCTTCTCTGAAGTCCAGGTTTTTGGTCAAATTTTTCGATTAACTGATCCACACCTGGAATTGATCCCGTATCGATATCCCGCCCAGTTCCTGGCAAGAAGGGGATATACCTTCTATTTTCATGACGGTTGACATTGTCAGCATGGATGGCACAGTCCTGATCGTCCAGTAGAAACCTGTACAGAGAAGTGGCTGAAGTGGGAGTTGTCGATGACGAGGACGACCTCCGGGACCGAGCTCCATCCAGGACCGGTCCCGCGGAATCTTGTCGCCGGAAGGGAAGAACGTCCGGCCTGGTTTTCTTGGCTTCGGGGTGGGCGTGTGGGCTATAGGCAGTCAGGTGTCTCCCGCTAGGGGAAAGGGCCTCTTCTCCCACACCCTCCTTGGTGCAGCTCTGAACGTTCACACACACCGAGGTGTGCTTTTTGGGGTCATCGATGACCACAGAGCTGCATAAACGAATGGCTGTCACACTGGATCTGGCTAGGTCTTCCAAGGGAGGGCTGGTAGGCTGGGAAGTGCTAGGTTTGGGAAAGCAAGTCCAGGGCTTCTTATCATTGGTATCTTCTTCCGTTAAAGTTTTTAGCCAATTACTCTCAGGAGGTTGGTGGTTTTGTAAGTTCAACTCATTCTTTTCAGGGTTGTAAGGCTGCAAAAGCTCTGGATGCTTCTGAAAGTTGAGCACGTGGGATGTCTTCATTGGCCCATCTTTGCCATCTAGAACTCCATTCTTGCCCTCGTGGAGAGAGGGCTGTTTCAGGTTTTTTATTGGGCTGGGTTGGGCATATGGGTTTTCTGGGAGCTGCAATTCTGCGCTGTTCCCCGTTAGCACAGGACCGTTGCTGGAATGTAGAGCAAGGTTATTTATCACTGGAGATGGAAATGGTGGCCCATTTTCAGCAAAAGATGTGCCTGCTAGACACCGCTCCGTGTTATTCAGGACTATGTAGGGGTGGCCGTCGATCCCCTGGACCCTAATACTGACGCCATAGGAGCCTGCCTTAGCGTGCTGCGAATTCCTTGATCTTTTGGTTTCATCACTTGCAAGTCTCAGATGGACCCCGTACTCCTGCTGCACATGTTGATATTCTCCGAAATACAGCTCCATGGTTCACTGTGCCAGCTACCAGGAAGAAATGGGGACATTAAGTTAGAATTACATCTATTTAAATGAAGACTGGAATAATTATGAGGGGGAGACTTCAAAGTTCAAAGAAGACAAGACACTTAAACAGCAAACAGTTCAGAACCAAATGCTGAGCTGCCGCCCTCTCCTGACCCAGACTGGCCGAACAAGCCCTTCCAGCCACCCTCCAGCCCCCGTGACCCGTTGTGTTTGTCAACTCAGGGCTTGAACCCTGGCCTGATGGTAGACAACTGGTGTAATGACCTGAGCCTTTGGCATAACTTCATTATTCTGTTTCTAGCTTGTGGCTGATTGGGTTGTTCTTTCCTCTTAGTTGGTTTCCTCACACTTTGTTTTTAACCAATAGGACGTTCTACTTACCAGCATTTGAGAATTAGGTAATTTTCCATGAAAATAATTAAGAGCTAAGGAATTCTGATGCTCACCATTCTTTTTTTCCTATTCTGTTCGTTTTCCTCTCAAAACACTTTGAGGCCTTTTTTCATGCACAATCCTACTTTGCAATCTTTAACACTAGGTATGTAAATACAATGTTTAAAACATTTTGACTCAAGAGAATCAGCTGTTTGTGAAACTGACGGTGAGATTAGATTAGATAAAAATTTTCAGTCTTTTTTTCCCTACCAAAAAAGGTCCAGTAGCATATTGATCTGAAAAATGTTTAAAAAAAGAAAAAAAAAATGAAGATGACTCAGAGCTCTTCATATTGTGATAGGTCCTGATGCCACAAATAGTTGCCTTCACCTTTCTGGTGTGTGGCCAGCCTCGTCCGATGACTGCAGACAGCTCACCAAGCAGGACACCCACCCTACCCACGCTCTGACGTCCTCCCAGCAGAAATTCACCTCTATGACTCTGAAAAACTCCAACAGCAAAGGAGACCCAGGAGGAACAGCAACAACTGGTCACAGATAACAGCTGTCTCATTTCTTTCACTTTTAGGAGCCTTTTAGAGTTTTCTTTCTATTCTGGACTCAATCTGGTGGCATATTTTCCAAGAAAGTCAACTGTTTCATCCACATTTTCAAATTTATTTGCATGGTTTTACAAAGTATAAATCATTTCATTTCTTCTGTATCTATTTATTATCTAATTTTGTGCTTTCTTCTATTTCTTGATTACACTAGAATATGTATATATATTCTTTTAATTGTTGTTTGCCTAAAGAACTAGCTCTTAGATTTATCATTCTTTTTCTTTAATTTTCTATTTCACTGAGTTCTAGTTTGATCTTTATTATTTCCTTCTGCTTTCCTTCATTTTATTTTGTTGTTCTATTCCCAACTTCCTGACTTGGATGCTTCATATGTTTATTTTCTTTCTTTAATTTAGTCACATAAATTGTGGTATGTAACTGTGTCACTTAGGAATTATGTCAGCTCCGACTAACAAAGAGACACAAAATAGCAGTTTAAGACGTAAGTTAGGATTTTTTGCTTAGAGGTAGGAAGTCCGGGGCTGGAATAGACCCCAGGATATTTACGAGGAGCACCTCTTTTATCTTTCCACTCATCTATCTTTGACATATATTAGACACCTTATGATTACAAGATGGCTGAGCCAGCAACACATACACCAAAGGCCTAGGCCAGATGAGTCAACTTCCTTTTAAAGGAGCTTTCCTGGAAGCCCACCCACCAATAACCCCCTACATCTTATTGGTGAGAACTTAATCACACGGCCACCCACAGCAGAAGGGACGTTGGGAAATAGGATTTTTTAGCTGGTTGTTGATGCTCTAAACAAAATCAACGTTCTGTTAGTAAAAAGAGAGAGGAGAATGGATACTGGGGAGGCAGCCAACAGCTTCTACCACAGTAATGTTTCTATTACTATTTTCTAGATACTTTCCATTTGGGGTTTTGATTTCTTCTTTGACCCAAGAGTTGTTTTTGAGAAAGTTTTTTCACATCCAGTATTTCGTTGTTGTGTTGTTTTGGCTTGGAGAGTCTTTATTTCTAAATGTTGTTAATTTCCACTTGTACTGTGGTCAGAAAATGAAGTCTCTCCTATTGCTTCCTTTTTAAATTTATTGAGGTTTCCTTTGTGGACAAATATATGGACAATTTTTGTCAATGTTTCACAGGTGCTGGGTGTAGTTTCCATTTTAAGTTATAGCATTCAAAATCCATCCACTAGTACAACCTTAATAATTATTTAGTGCAGCTATAGCGTGTCCTCACCTATTTTGCCTCTCTGATTTGTCTGGGGTCTTTCTGGATACATTCAGTCTCCTACTGCTAGCACGGTGCTGTCAGTTTTGCTTGGTGATTTTTCTTTTAAATGTAAAACATATCAATTCCTACTTTATAGATAGGAACAACTTGGAGAGGTACATTCATCTGCAATATGTATCATCCCACCAATTCCAAATATTTCATTAGGTCTACTTTCACTCTCGTCAAAGTTATACTAATATTTTTAAATAACTGAATTTTTAATTGGAGTAAAACAAGATATAGTGAAAACCTATACTCCCCAGCTTCCCTTCCCCAATTTCAAATACGTTCCCCAGAAAAAAATAACTGCAAATTTTAGCTGTTTCTTCTAGTACTTACTTCCATGTTGCTAACGAATATTCCTAACTATGATTTCTTATCCGTTTTACATGTGGTAGACGATGCACCATACATACAAATTGCTCATTCTGTTAGCTTCCCAACAGTAAAATCAAGAGCTAATTGTTTACATTATTATGTTATATAAACATTATTCACTAAAGAGCCAAGTTGTATACTATGGTCATCTTTCCTTTCTCACAAAATTTTTACTGGAGTTAATAACTTGTCTTGTTTTCTATATACTTATTCTTAAATCCTTCCACCAGCTACGTCATGTCTATTAGACACTTACCAGCATTCATTTCTAAATGCTCAAAACATCAGATAACGTGGTAATCTTCCCCCCTGCTGACCTCCCTGTTGCAGCCGTCCACTCTCCTGCCTTATATTAGGGGTCTTTGCTCTCTTCCTTTCGTGCTAATATTATTTCCTGAGTTCCATGGCTTCCTCTTTCTCAGTTTACCCAATTGGTCTGACAGAACACACTTCTAACAGAGTTCTAAGAAAAGGTCCAAGGGAGTAAATTTTTTGAGCCCTTGTATTTTGAAAAATGTCTTTATTCTACGCTTACTTTTAATTGATAGTCTAGCTAAATTTAGAGTCTAGATTCGAAATAATTTCCCTCAGATTTTTTATTCCATTACCTTCTAGCTTCCAGGGATGCTGTTAGAAATTCTGATGCTTTTATATCCTTTCCTTTGTGTATGACCCGCTTGCTTTTCTCTGAAGGTTTTCAGGACCTTTTCTTTATCACTGGTGTTCTGAAATTTCACAATGACATACCCAGGTATGGCTTTTACAAAACTGGGCACTTTTATAAAATGTAGGCACTTAACATATTCTTTCCATTTGGAAATTCATGTCCTTAGTTCTACAAAATGTGCTTGAATTCTTTCTGTGACAATGTTCACAGAACCATTTTATTCTGTTCTTGGTTTTTGCATCTACTCTAATAGCAATGTTGAATCTTTTAGACCAAATTTCAACTTTTTTCTTTTCTACTTTTTAACTCCATCTTTTTTGTTCTATTTTTTGAGAGATATATCCCCAACATTTTTCAAATTCAGGTATTTAATTTGTAATTTCCAATCACTCTTTCCTGTTCTTTGTTTCTCTTTCATAAATGCTTTCTTATTTCAGAGGTGAAATGGCTTCTCTCTCCCTCTGAGGATAACTATAACTTTTTTCAAAAAACATGTTTTCTCTGCTTTCTGCAACATTTCCACCTTCTGCAAGATTTCTCTTTTTCTATTTGTTTTGGTCCCTGTCTTTCATATTGAAGGCTTTCCTACTGTGAGTGGTAATCCTTGCCTGCTGATCCTATTTAAGAGTGAAGTACCAAAGCAGATCCGAAGCTCTGCATGTGTGCAGAGGGCAACTAATGGGGGAGGTGGGGGAACTTTCCACTGAAGAACCCACAAATTTCAGTATCTGGGGGCATTATTTTCTGGAGCCTGAAAGTAAGAATCCTGCACTCCCTTGCTAGGGCTACATGTGCCTGGCTGCTAGGCCTTCTGGGACGGGGCACTAGAGGCCACAGCTGTCATGAATGACCCTATTTTCAGTTATCCACATGTGCCTTCAACACCTTTCCAGTTCCATTTCTCCAGAGAACAGACCTCCAGGCTGCTGTTGGGGTTGGGGAGAGGGGCAGGGCCACGGTGCAGAGAAGAATGTAGAGGTCTAGTTACTCCAGGTCTCAAGGCTCTTAAATAACTCCCTGGATTCCAGCCTGTCTCCCCAGCCTTCTACAGTAACAGATGCCCTAGAGTCTTAGTTTAGGGCCACAGACACTTGCAGTGTGGGTGTCCTCTCTCCCCAACCCAGTGGTCATACCTCCATGGGCTGGGGAGCTCTCCACTCCATCTCCACTACCATTCTGTGCCTGGTGTAGGTTTAAACATCTTATATTCTGTTACTATTGAATGGGATTTTGAAAAGCAGATCAACTTTTAAACTCATCTAGCTTGACAAGGCTAATAATATTGTAAAACACCTCAGTACCAAGGACAAGTCCAGCTGGCATACACAGATAGAGCGAGGCCCAAGGCTGAGACTAAAATGACCAGGCGTCCTGACCCCCTTTTTCTGAGCAGGGTTGGCATGTTTTATTCTGGATCTCTGGAAGTGTTCGTGTTTATTAAAGTTTATAACGATTTTTTTTTTTAACAGAAGAGCTTCTTTTTGTGTGTGTGGGATTTACTAAATGGAGTTGTTTTGCTCACCAATAATCTGTTCTTATGCTGACAGCTTTTCAATGAAAATACTTCCTCTAATATTTATTAATAAAACTCTTATCTAGGGTTTTATAGTCCTTTTCAATAGCTGCTGCTACTACAGTCAACACTAATTACATTTCAATCTTTGAATAAGGCCACCTTGGCTTATTATAATCTTAGCTCCCTGTTGGTAAAT